TTTTTAATTGCCAAATCATTTGGTCTTTCCTGATAGCAAAAGTACTGTCAATAAACTTATTGAAGAAAATTCGCTATGAAGTACAACCAAAATCTGAGCCCCGTTGACCACACACTTTCTGATTCTTCTGCCATAGTCTAGTCTATGATTGAATGTGGCTCCTAGACAGAGAAGTGGAATTTTTGTAACAGCATAATCATAAAGATAAGCATTTGTACTTGAGTAGACTAATTTGTTGGAGGAAAAGATAGCCCAGTTACAGTAATTGTACTATGCTTTTAAAATAAAATGTAGTTGGAAACAGCAGCCTTCTTTTGCTTTTGTTTTAGTGTCACCTCTTACCTTGATGGAAAGATTGAAAACATACTAATCTGGGAAGTCAAGGGACCTGGGTTAAAAACCACGTAGTTCTGCCACTCACTTGCTCTATGACTGCATTCAGTTCACTTATACCTCTCTGGATCTCAGTTTCCTCATCAATAAAATAAGAAAATTATTCCAAAGTATGTCTAAGACTCATTCCTCCATGGGTAGGCATTAGTAGTGTTTGCCAGTATCCAGTTCTCCTCCCTTCTGGCAAGACTTAACTGGTTCTGGCCAGCCAGATATAAGGAGAAGTGTTACGTCACTTGCAGGCTGTGGAAAGCCTGTGCACAGTTCTTCAGACTCTTTTCCTGCCAAGACAATTGAGAAGCCCACATTCTAGGGGATGGAACCACTGTCTGCCTGGACCTACTTTGAGTGTATAGGATGAGCATGAAAAATATTTGAGTTGTATTAAACCATTGGAATTCTGAAGGTAATTTGTTATCACATAACTTATCCTGACTAACATGTCAGATCTAACTTACTATAGTTTGGTAGGTCATTATTTCCGTGTTACAAAATTTTTTACTATATTTTATGCTAATGAGTACTCTGAAGGAATTTGAAGCCCACAGTTCTCTTTCAAATGATTGAATATGTTGGTACCTAGTAAATCAGTCTTTAAACACAAATCCTTATTGTTGCTCTGGATTTCAGTTTACACCTTTAAAAGGTTTATTTCTGATATACTTTCTGTTCCCCAATTATTTTGGCTCTACTTTTTAATAGAGAAAGCAGCAAATTTATTTTCTCATTCAGAGTATCCCCTCTCGCTATTGTAAGCATGAAACTAGATAGAAAAGTATAGATTTTCCATTGTTTCTGATTTTAAAAAACACTTAATGATCTATATATGAAGAGATGGATATTACCACAACATTATCATGTGTTTCAAAGGAAAGTTCAAATACAGCTTATTCCTTGAGCATGAAGTAGGTCTGTCCTGCTTATATGCAAAATTTCCTAAAAACAGTACTCAAGTCATTGGTTTACACCTTAAACAAAGAATGTGTTGATTGAACACAGAAACCATTGTTTTGAATGACAGATAGCTGCATTGAAATATTGCCTTGATTCTGTGACAATAAAAGCTGCAAAAGAAAAATCTGCTAAAAAGGATTTAAATTTACAGATTTTCATACCACAGAAAATATCATGACATTTCCATACCTGAGACGGTAGTCGAATCTTGCCTGGGACTTGAGGGCAGGGACAGCAACATAACTTGCCAGACCGGTAGAAAATGAAAATGTGAGGCGCTTTCTTCAGAAAGAAAGAAAAAGCCCAATTAAAGGTGCTAGAATACAAAGCTCTTTCCTTTAAAAGGACACCAATAAAGCATGAAGGGTAATAGTAATATATGAGCGATAAAGACTACAGATAGAAAAAAATTATATATTTGGTATTATAATTTTATATGATAAAATGATACTTTATTAATGTGATAACTTGATTAACCTTAAGTTTTCCTGACTCACTTTTCTTCAAATTCATTTATTTTATTTATTTATTCATTTATTTTTTAATGGAGCTTTGCTCTTTCGTCCAGGCTGAAGTGCAGTGGCACAATCTTGGCTCACTACAACCTCCGCCTCCTAGGTTCAAACATTCTCCTGCTTCTGCCTCCCAAGTAGCTGGGATTACAGACACAAGCCACCACACCCAGCTAATTTTTGTATTTTTGTAGAGATGGAGTTTTTCACCATCTTGGCCAGTCTGGTCTCGAACTCTTGACCTCAAGTGATCCACCTGCCTTGACCTCCCAAAGTGCTAGGATTACAACACTTTGAGCCACTGTAAACACTACAGGAGCCACTGTGCTCGGTCTAAATTCATTTATTAAGTCGTCATAATTTATGCTTTTAAAAACTTTAAGTGATATAAAGCAAATGAGTTTACAAACATTTTTTGTAATTTTTTAAGTTATACTTAAGTTCTGGGGTACATGTGCAGCTCGTGCAGGATTGTTACATAGGTATACACGTGCCATAATGGTTTGCTGCATCCATCCCCCCATCACCTGCATTAGGTGTTTCTCCTAATGTTATCCCTCTCCAATCCCCCCACCCCCTGCTATCCCTCCCTTATTCCTCCCACCCCCCCAACAGGCCCCAGTGTGTGATGTTCCCCTCCCTGTGTCCTTGTATTCCCATTGCTCAGCACCCACTTATGAGTGAGAACATGCGGTGTTTGGTTTTCTGTTCTTGTGTCAGTTTGCTGAGAATGATGGCTTCCAGCCTGATCCATGTCCCTACATAGGACTTGAACTCATCCTTTTATATGGCTGTATAGTATTCATGGTATATATGTGCCACATTTTCCTTGTCCAGTCTATCTTTGATGGTCATTTGGGTTGGTTCCAAGTCTTTGCTGTTGTAAACAGTGCCGCAGTGAACATACGTGTGTATGTATCTTTATAATAGAACAATTTATAATTCTTTAGGTATATGCCCAGTAATGGGATTGCTGGGTCAAATGGTATTTCTAGTTCTAGATCCTTGAGGAATCACCACACTGTCTTCCACAGTGGTTGAACTAATTTACACTCCCCCCAACAGTGTACAAGTATTCCTATTTCTCCACGTCCTCTCCAGCATCTGTTGTCTCCAGATTTTTTTAATGATCGCCATTCTAACTCACGTGAGATGTTTTTCATCATTTTTAATTTTGAGAAAGATCTTTCTGTAGATGCAACTGACACTGGAGCTGCTAAGAGTATTTTGTAGGCTGTACCAACATTTGGATAGATTTCTATCAAAGTATTTCCAAATGTGAATTTTAGTTTATGTAGAGGTGATCATTCTTGGGTATTGTCTTTCTAAAAAGATTAAACTCTTCATACACATTAGTTTCATACCTGTTGAAATTTAATTTTAAATACAAATCTATACAATGTCATTTTAATGTTTTCTCCAGCATGTCCTGTAGAGATCATACAAGAAACCAAAAATCACTTAATGATTTGTCTATAATTCACAGTGCCTGTTTATGCTTTCTATAGCAACATCTTTAATTACAAAGACAAATTAATTTTAAAAATTGTATTTCTTGTTAATAATTGGTTCATTTGAAATTGCATATGAGAATGGTGGTTTTTTTCCTATCAAATGCAATAATCCTCAATTTTTATTTCTAAGCCTGTGGATATTTGCTTTGCAGTGTTATAGCAGTTTTTAAAACCAGAAACTCTAAACTCTTAGAAAGATTCTAATATATCTCTGATATGCTTTATTGTAATGTCCACGTGTATGCTTTCATTTTGTAATAATTTACTGGTATTTATAGCCTTAATGCTAGCAGTTCATATCCCAGTGCTCAGGCCAGAAAGATGACATTTTTGCCACAGGGATGGGCTTAGAAAACAGACAAGCCAGGCTTCCAACACGGCTGCTTCTGATGGTGCTGCCATCATCACCACCATTAATTTGGAGCTAGGTTCTGGCCCCAGCTATCCCCTTAGGGCCCTATGTGTTACTTCAGACTGTTTCTTTTTGTTTGTTTTGCTCTGTTGCCCAGGCTGGAGTGCAGTGGTGCAACCTTGGCTCACTGCAGCCTCCACTTCCCAGGTTCAAGTGATTCTCCTGCCTCAGCCTCCTGAGTAGCAGAGACTACAGACACATGCCACCATGCCCGGTTAATTTTTGTATTTTTAGTAGAGACAGAATTTCACCATGTTGGCAAGGCTAGTCTCAAACTCCTGACCTCAAGTGATCCACCCATCTCGGCCTCCCAAAGTGCTAGGATTTCAGGCGTGAGCTACCATGGAAGCCCCATACTGTTTCTTTACCTCCAAGCTGCTCCAAACTTACCCTTTCTGATAAGAATGCTGGACACAAAGCAATCTTTCTTTGGAGGGATATCTTAATAGATTTAGAATCGTTTACCAAATTCTGGAGAAGGTGGAAGGGGGTTAACAGGAAGGAACTACCATTTATTGAGTGCCTTTTATGTATTCATTTATATTAATTAATTAATTTAATCCTAACTGGAGTTTTGCTAGCCCCTTATACATGAAAAGACTGAACTGAGAGACTGAATAACTTCCCCAGTATTACACAACTTGCAAATGGTAGAACAGAGATTTGAACCAAGTCTATCTGTCTGTGAAGATTTTGACAGGTAGCTTTAGTGTCCTGGATGAGAGTGCTGGAGACAAACCACCTGGGTTCAATTCTAGACTCTTCTGTGTAATAGCTTTCTGTTAGATGAGTTACTTCCCTGAGCCTTAATTTCCACTTGTTTATGATGGGGATCAGAGTAGTACAGTACCTACTTCATAGGTTAAATATTTGTAGTGTTAAGAACAGTGCCTGACAGTAAGCTTATAGTACATGTCACTGTTAATATCATCACTGTTATCATGATTACTTTTCCCACTCTACAGGCTTTCTTCATAAGTTATAAAGGAATATTAGAAGTCAGCAAAAGAAAAGAGGTTATGGACAGGCAGCAAGGCCTCGGTTCTTCAAGTCCTTCTGATGTTTACCTTCACAAAAGTTCCCCTAAGCAGCATCTTATGCACTATATTATCTTTGATCTGATTCTTGCCCTGGATAACCCATTTCTGCTGGGCTTCTTGGATTCTCATTTTCTAATAATCTGATCCTTTCCTGTCTGGGTTGTATGTCTTACAGGTATGAGACATCTTTGTTGGATTTGGTTCAGTCTCTGAGCCCAAACTCTGCTCCCAAACCTCAGCGCTATCCCTCCAGAGAAGCTGGGTCCTGGAATCACGGTACTTTCCGACTCAGTCCTCCAAAATCAACCCGGAAGAAGATGGGGATGCACAGGACCCCTGAAGAGCTGGAGGAGAATCAAATTCTGGAAGATATATTTTTCATTTGACATACTGCAAAATTTTCCTAGGAAATTTGTGGGTGTCCTCTCATACTGATCTAGGATTTTAAATTATTTCATTGCAAAGTAATTGTGTCTCTCCTTTCACAAGGACCTATATCACTCGTATCCTGTTATGTATTGAATATAGAAATCATTCTAACAACCCAGGGTGTTCTCAGTCAGACCAGGCATTCGATAACACACTAAGGGGATAGGAATGGAAGATGGTGTCTTTTTTATGCTAAACAGAGATTAGAAAATTAACATAGGATACTTTCTGCGTGGTGGAAACCATTGCATATTCAGCCTCATTTCAAGAGTGTATCCTTCTCAAACTTCTGCTAGAAAAGGCTGGCTCACTTTTATATACAAGAAAAACCTTTCCACTGAAAGATCCCTCTAATTTAAAAGTAACTTCTTTGAAACATAAGCAGTTTCAGAAAGGCAGACCCTCTCACCTTTCTCATCCTGTTCTCTCACAGCTATGTCTCCGTAAGTGGTCCTTTAATTCTGAAGTTGGAGTTGGTGCCCTTGCCGTCACAAACAACACTGAGGGCCAGCTGTGAGTCTGTCTCAGTAGCCATCAGCCTGGCGGCTGCTCATTCCATAACCAAAGAGCTCAGTGAGCTAGAGGGTAAGACCCAGCCAATCCTTGGGAGCAGGCAGCATGAAACCATGTCAGGGACTGATTGCCCTGGGGAAATTCAGTGGAGGCACAAGCCTGAAGCACTTTTCCTACCAATGTTCAGGTGACCACCCCTCCGATATCTCAGAATGAATAAGAGCAATCTCTAGGTATTTTTTATTGATCCAAGAATTCAGATTATTCACCCTCCATCACATGAGCTCCTGTGAACTTCCCAAAGTTATGTCTAGGGAAAATGCCACTAGAGAGAGAGTGACATTAGTTGCAGCAAGCTGATGGGCTTCCTCTGGCCCTCCCTTTTCCTCCATGGGGATTAAAGAATACGAGCTGACCAGGCCTTGCAGGTGCTCTGCTCATGGCCCCAAAGAACCATCTCTACTTCCCAGAGCATGTTCCACCACCCAAGCAGAGCCTCCCTGCTTTTTCTCACTGGGACTCGCTTTGACCCAGAGAAAACCTGTGGAAGTTACACAGTGCAGACCTCATCCTCTCTGCTGTCTTTTCTCCCACAGAGCTCTTGAGATGGGTCCTTCAGCTTGCAGTGGGCTCTAGTAGCCTCTTGAGCTAATGGGGATGATGACCCTGGTTTAGCCAGAGTTCAAAACTCTCCAGTCATTGAAAGCAAGCAGAGGGTGTGCCAGGGCAGCCTGCATGCAGTGAGCCTGCATAGCTTCTCCGAATTATTGTTTTAATTGAAACTAAATTATTTCAATCTAGAAAAGCCTTGTTGAGCAGCCTCCTTGTCCAGATAGATCCGAAGCTCATGTCTCTTCAGGCTGAGCCTGGCCCTGTTGCCTCCACCCAGCCTTCTTTCACTTGGATTTTTTTATTTTTTGGAAGATAAAAGAATGGAGCCCACCAATATTCTATTTTTCTTCTGAAATAAATAGAAAGTCAGGACTAACTAGTTGTAGTCATTTCCTTAAAAAGCTGGAAGATCATTACAGATTAAAATTTCCTTGAAAGTTCACTTCTGAGAGTAACTAAATCAGTTTTATCCTATACCAAAAAGCCTTTGGAGCATGGTGCTTTCTGTGGTATGGCAGAAATGGGTGGACGGCAAACTGAGCTCTCAGCTGTTTTTAGGTTGCCAGAACTTGCTTTTCCCTGCCCCCTGTGTCATGACCAGCTTACGTACACCTGAATCCCTTAGACTAACCATGCCCACAGTCACCCATTCCAGACCCCAGTGTCCTGAAAACTCTCTGGAGTGAGACGATGCCAGAGGATCAAAAAAAAGGTCACAGAAGAATCGTAAACAGAGTCTAAACTAAAGGCTTTTGGGGGTCACAGCCATAGAGTAGAGTTTAATTGCTGCTTTGCCTCTCCATGAATGGCCAATTTGGAAAAGCGAGGATGGACTTTCAGCAGAGCATCAGTCAACACATTTTTCACATGCCAAACCCATCACCAGTTGCCTTTTTTTCATTTGTGGACATTTTGTTGGTGTTGGTGCAAGGGCACTAGGCTATAAATTTTTGTGTAATCTAATGTCTTCATTATTAATTGAACAGTACGTGTTAACATTTTAACCTGTTTAGATATACTTTGAAATATATACATATAAATGAATGAAAGGGTTGTTGCAGAGCCTCCAAGCTATTGCAGACTATCCCAAGAGAAAGGAGCTGGCACAAAGGAATCTGACTTTCCTCCCTGTTAAGTCTCCTGCCCTTGACTGGTTGGGATTTGCTCGTCTAGCCTTTAGACACTTTCCCAAAGCAAGACTGGACACATACCGAGGGTGCTGCGGATAGTGCTATGGCATTGCCCACCCTGCTGCCCACCTCCTGTGAGAGAAAAACCAATCAATGTTTACAAAATGGAAAAGGACACAGCATGTCCTTTGAACTCCCTAAGTAAGGCCCACAGTGCTTGACTTAGAGAACCAAAGTTAATCACAGAAAAGCTTTTGCTGACAGTTCCCCTTCCCGGAGGCATACTTGTGTTTATCCAAACCTGATCCCCATGATGGGGACTTTTCTAGAGCACCCCAAATGGCATGGGAGGGAAGGACTCTTTCTCCTCCCTCAGAGCCACTCTTCACTTGGCCCTGCTTCTGGCACCAAGTTCATAGTAAAGCACTGCTGGCCAGAGAATCAGGGGAGGAGAGAGGCCTGATGGGGCAGAGCTGGATGAACTCTGCCAAGAGCGATGGAGGCTGTGGTGGACTCCTTCTAGCTCACAGTTTATCCTCAGCTCAGAGTGTATTTTGAATGTGGGCAAATGTTTATGTACGTATGAGATTTTAAGTTAATAAATCATCTCTATGGCTATTTTCCCCACGTGGATTTGATATTGAATTGTCCCTTGAATATCCCTCATCAGATCAGTGAGGCATAGCTTGAAAGCAAGTGCAGAGCCGCAGGTTATCAAAATGTTATTTTCCTCAGTACTTGTTAAAACAGCAGGAGCCTGTGGCTGACTGAGAGAAAGGAAATGGTTTGTCACATCCCAGTAGGTTTTTCTGCTGTGGCTCCTGCTCATTCATATCACGTGGCCAACAAGCCTCCTCTAGACTGTGTGCTTGTTGGAACAGAACATTCAATCTATGTGTACCTCTAAGTCCCTTTTCTGTGCCTAGCCCCATAGCTGCTCAGCAAGGAAGAAATATCACAGCACTTTTAAGACCAAAAAAATGGTTTTGCCTAGTTGCCTTTAGTTGCTAGAAGAATGCGTATGATGGCTTCAGTGCCTGAAACGCTCAATTCTGAGATCATACCTGTGGATTCAACTAAGACAGTCAGAGTCTCTGTCCTGCCACCTCCCCCCAAGCCAGGCTGGCACGTGCACCTGAGTAAGGAGACTTTGTTTGCAGCTGCCCCTCAGAGGCACAAGTACCAAGGACAGAATCATCATTCAACAGCTCCCAAACTGAATATGAAAATTGCTCATGGATTTCTGGTAACACCTTTTAGGTGTTTAGCATTCTGGAGACCCAGTCTGGGAATCAGGGGACTTCAATCAAGTATAGGATCCCCCCTAATTTGAAAAAATGCCCTGTGAATAGCCCAGATTTTCAGCTGACTTTCTCATCCCTTATTTCCACCATTGTGGTTCTCTCTTTCCTTTTACAAGACATCCAACGGGAGCACTCTTGGATTCATTGCTCCTTTTCACCTCACAAACTGGCTTTCATGCAAGCCCAGTTTAGAGAGAGATGAGTCAAAGCCCAGTTTTACTCTTGACTTTCCAGCACTCCTGGCCAATCAGCAACCAAAACCCGTGGACACTACTTCCTTTTTATTATTTTCTGGTAATAGCTTTATGAGATTACTCAAATACTGTACAGTATACCTACTTGAAGTGTATAGTTCAGTGGTCTTTAGTATATTCACAAAGTTGCCACCATCACCACAATCAATTTTAGAATATTTTTATCACCCCGAAGAGAAACCTGTACCTGTTAGCACTCACCCTCCACACTGCCAGCCCTAGGCAACCATTAATTGACTTGTCTCTATACATTTGCATATCTGGACATGTCATATTAATGAAATCATATTCTATGTGGTCTTCTGTGACTGGCTTCTTTCACAGCATAATGTTTTCAAGGTTCATCCATGCTGTCACATATACGTGGTTCCTTTTGATTGCCAAATAATATTGTGTCATATGAATATACAACATTTTTGTTTATCCATTAATTAGTTGATGGACATTTAGGTTGTTCCCCCGCCTTTTTTTTTTTTTGGTTATTATAAAGAATACTGGTATAAACATCCATGCAAAACTTTTTGCTATAATCCCAGCACTTTGGGAGGCTGAGGCAGTTGGATCACAAGGTCAGGAGTTCAAGACCATCCTGGCCAATATGGTGAAACCCCATCTCTACTAAAAATACAAAAATTAACTGGGCTTGCTGGTGGGTGCCAGTAGTCCCAGCTACTTGGGAGGCTGAGGCAGGAGAATTGCTTGAACCTGGGAGGCAGAGGTTGCAGTGAACCGAGATTGCACCACTGCACTCCAGCCTAGGCAACAGAATGAGACTCCATCTCAAAAAACAAACAAAAAGCTTGTATGGGCACTCCCTTAAACCAAAGGCTAATCCAAAGCAACGCCCTGACTCTCTTCAATTCTATGAAGGCTGAGAGAGATGAGGAAGTTGTAGATGAAAAGCTTGCAGCTAGCAGAGGTTTAAGGAAAGAGACTATCTCTATAATGTAAAAGTATAATGTGAAACAACAAATGCTGATGTAGAAGCTATGGCACGCTTGTTTATTCAGAAGATCCACCTATTGATGAAGGTAGCTACACTAAACAATGGATTTTCAGTGTAAATGAAACAGCCTTCAATTGGAAGAAGATGCCATTGAGGACTTCCATAACTAGAGAGGAGAAGTCAATGCCTGGCTTCAAAGGACAGGCTGACTCTCTTATTAGGGGCTAATGTAGTTGGTGACTTTAAGTTAAAGCCAGTGCTCATTTATCATTTGGAAAAT